ATCTCAGAATATATTGTTTTCAATAAACGCAATCTCTGGTTCTGTTTCCATTTGGGACGAATATTCAAAACGGACGTGAGTAAACATTAGTGACAGGTTCTGACGAATATCAGCAACCATTGAGTCGCTAAAGCTTTACGCTCGCAGGCGAGTCGGTCCACAGACGGACCCCCCATTACCAGGACACCCAACAGGCGAAGGCCTCTCTACGTCCTGTGATTTGAATTTGAATTTACCCGACCTGATTTGTTTTAATCAGCAAACGAATTTATTGTGGTAGTCAGGTACACTAGTGCAGCGTTTTAAAAATGACGCAATCAGTTTGGGATATCGCTGTTCAACAAAACCGCTCGAAAATCGGTAGTAATTTTATCCGTAACTTATAAAAATTAATAGATGCAACCGAAATTAAACCGGATCCTACTATCGTTTTCTGTGGGAATCGTTCCAGCGTTTGTTTTTATCACTTGAAATGCTATTTGTTCTATGCGCATTTTAGGGTAAAACGACTGTCATAAACCGCCTCTTAGAGCGTGAAGAGAAGCCTAAGGCTACTTTAGCATTAGATTATAATTTTGGTAGAAAGGCTACAGGTGCCTTGCCTGTAAGTGTTTACCACAATTTGATTCGATTTTGCAACTACTTTTCACTTTGTTAATTTAGACAAGATCTGTTGCCCATATTTGGGAACTGGGCGGTGGTGTGCGTTTGGCGGATTTGCTCAGTGTTCCGATCACACCTAACTCAATGAGGTATATTAAGTTCAATTGTAGTTATCTTCAAACAAATTCAGGAATCTTCACCTTGTTTTGGTCCTGGATTTGTCAAAACCCGAAGAGCTCTGGACAACAATGGAATCCTTACTTGAAACAGCCAGATCTCGATATGAGCAGATAAAGTGTAGACTGACGAAGAACGAACACTTNCGAACACTTCCAGTTGCAAAGAAAGTATCAAGTTCTATTGAAAGAACGAAAATGTCCAAATCACCCCGATCTAGAGCTGCTCAATCCGTTTCCAATTCCTTTGACCATAATCGGATCGAAATATGATATATTACTTGTAAATAAGTAAAATTACGCTTCAAGTCCACAATACAATCATTTTAGAATATTTCTTTTGAACAGCAAAAAATCATAATCAAGACGCTTCGATTCATAAATCACTATTACAGTGCATCGCTATATGTAAAACCTTTATCCATGTTTATACCAAGTAGTTCACTTCTAGCAAGGATGAAGCTTCTATGAGGAGAATAAGAGGAGTTTTAAGCCATTTGGCTTTTGGAACCCCGTTTACACGAACAGTCCAAATGGATATAGGGAAACCGCTTTCAATCCCGGAGGGGACCGATTCGTTCTCAAATATAGGTGAGTGATAAAATAGTTGTCTTTGAACTGCATAGAAATTCTGCTAGAAGATAGCGACGATTAGATTTTTTCATAGCCCATATTAGGAATACCAATTAATTTAGGAACCGCAAAAGAATACGAATAATTTAACAGTCAAAATGTGTGGTATAGGTTTTAAAAATCACTTTAAGAGATGCACAGATTATCCAATTACAAATAATAGTTAGCAAAGAAATAACTCACCAATTTTCACGTTTTATGTTGTGCCAACCTGTTCTTTATTATTTTTTAGCACCCAATTCTTTATTCTTACCTTTTCTCTGTGCTATCACTCAAGCGTCGTTCTCCCTTTCCACTCTTCTATTTTATCCTAAATGAGCGCATGGTTTTCACTGTGATTAATAATTTAGAAATAATAAGATGTAATGACCTTTTAATGTTTATATGTGTATATATTCACACACGTCTGAATACAGACTGCGTACCAACAAATCATGGTACAGTAATCTTTTTGAAAAAGAAAAACGTTCCATGATCTGAATGGGGGTAAAATACTGCCAAGTTTCCCAGACCAATGCAGGTGAATTTTCTTGCGGAGTCAACAACTAGAGGCTGTGGCTAGCCAACGCCTGACATGAAAGGCAGCGGGGCGGTGTGCAAAAGCCACAGTCTATTAGGGGCCGGTGCCCAGTTCATCAAATCATACGCCTTTTGGACGGGGTCAAACATCCAAGATGCCCAGCTGAGCCGGTTACCACTGCCACAATCAGCAAGTTGTGTGTGTGGTTCATATGCCTCCTCATGGTTGGTTTGGAACCAGGGTTTTTGGCCAACTTCCTTAGGTCCACCAACCCGGTTATAGCCCCGGATGTTGGCTTTTTGTCCTCTCACTTTATTGGGAAGACACCTCCACCACGAGAGGGCAGTGAGTAGGACTTCCTCAGCAGAGTCTATTGGAGATGCTTGGTCGTATGGGAGCATTTGCTAGGTGCTTGGGGAGGATGATCAGCCACAACACTAGACATCCACCCCCGACCGTAATGAGGCTTTTAGAGGCTTTAATGTGCTTTTAATGTCTTGGGTTCGGAAAATCAATAAACCTTCTCTACGAATGTATCTTAATAATATATATATATCCTAATAATAATATCTTAATTGATTACTTGTGTTTGGTTGTCACCTACTTGGAAGTGCCGGCTAACTCGTTTAATCCCAATCGTTTTTGGGCAAATGTACCGTTTGTCCAACATTACGTTTCTATAATAAACCATATCGATTGTCCCAAAAGGGTTGCAAAAATGGTTAGAAGAAGAAACGTTACCTCCCGAATCTTTCCCTTTGGGATTTCCAGTATTTTATTTTCCAGCAGACTATGATCTCAGTCGCCTCGTAGCTGTTTTCTCATAATGCGTTTTTAATGCTAACGTCTTGATCAATTACCTAGCCCTTGATGTCAAAATCACTGTATGTGTGCGAATTTTTCTATATGCGAGCTCACCAAAATCTTGAAACGTCATCACGATCAAAAGACAAATGTAAGGTGATGTAGAAGTTTGTTGCCACTAAAAATAGTTATATCCCTTATTGTTTGATCAGTCCGTTCATTTCACTTCATTAGACTATCTGTAGTTGAAGTAATGAAGGAGTCAGGCTAGATTCT